CCAAGGTTCTTTGCAAACCCACGGGTTTTTATCAGAGATTTGTTCACGAGACAATTAATACTTACAAACAGAGAAAACTTAAACCGAGAGGATGGTTTCAAATTAAGCAACCATTGGAAAGATGTTCTGAATCAAACCAAACATTAAACTAATTTTCAATGGTACAGTATATTTTTTCAAGTAGTGGTATCCAAAACTTTCGCAGCTGCTTAAATTCCCTCTTCCCACCATCAATATGTAAACTCTCCCCTCCCCTCCCCCCCTTGCCGACCTGCACATGTTCACCCCCTCTACACCGTTCATCATGCTAAGTCCGCCAATTAAATGCTCATTTTTTATGCTAATTCCTTTGTCAAGGCGCTCTGTTTCCTCTCACAGCTTAAAGGCCACGGTCTGAGCTTGGCTGTGTTCACTCCAGCGCTGTCCTCTAGACAGTCTGGTCCCTTCACCTGATGAAGGCCACTTGTGTTGTGGCCGAAACGTCGTGATTTTTGTTGTTTTATTTTTTAACCTACATGACTTTACCGAATAGAACCAAAGAGTACGGAGATATGTCGTTTCATCTCCCCGATATAGCAGTCACCACAGGTGCAGATCAATTTGTAAACTCCGGGGTACTGTAAGTCAGGAATGACATCCTTCACGGATGGGATCAGGTCACAGATTTTGTGTACTGTATTGAACCGGAACAGGATCTTGTGTTTGTTTAGAATTGTGGAGATCTTTTTAGTAACGCCTGCTATATATGGTAGTGTGATGGTTTTGACCGGAGTATCAAGTGGTTGTTTCTGTATGGAGGGAGAAACAGCTTGGTGGATGGTACGGTCAGAGTATCCGTTTCTCTTGAGGGCCAGGTGTACATGTTTTAATTCACTGGTCAGGTGGTGTTGGTCCGAAATGCAATGAGCCCTGTGGTATAACGTTTTGATGAGATAATTTTTTTGAGCTGGGTGGTGGTGGGAATCAGGCTTCAAGTAGGAATCTTTGTGGATGGGTTTCCTGTAGACAGAATGCCCCAATGAGCCATCAGGTCTCTTCTCAAACAGAACATCCAATAATGGTAGATTGCCATCCTTCACTTGAAACTTTAGTAGTTCGATATAATTCACAAACACTAGGAAGGATTTGCCTCTACTCGTGCCACACTGAGAGGCTGTGCTTGGTTTGGGGTAGAAACACAAGTCTCTCGTGCCATAGCCCCGAGGTGTCTCGCTCTCGCCCCACCATTTCTGCCGAGGCGGTGACATTACCTACCCAGCAGAGACATCATGTGATCATCAGCCGTGAACAATCAACTCATAGATGAAGGCGTCCTCAAGTAATCGCCACCACTCACGGTTTTGAGAAGTGGATCCTTATCATGATGTGTACTGAGCATGGCGACTCAGGGCCCCAAGTGTGAGACTTTGCCTTGCGCTGATAGGGTGCCACGGTGGCGAGATGTTAACAACCTCTCCTTGTATGCAGGAGGTCGTGGATTTGATCCCGACCATGACCCCTGCTGTATATTGGATTTTGCATGTTCTCCCCGTGGTCCCGTCGATTTTTCTTCGGGTCCTCCGATGTTTCCCTCCATATTTAGAAACACGCCTTTATAGAGTGATAAGCAACTTCGTTGAGCTATCATTTGTGGCCAGGTCGCTTCTGAAAAAGAGCTATATTGCTCAGTAGGCCTTTGCTGGTCAAATAAAAATGGTTTCTAGTTTTAGTTTTGTTTTATGGTAGTGGAAAGGAGGGACACACTTTAGTAATGAATATAACTGAAGGGGACGTATGACAACCAGCTTGCCTTGGTGTGTTTGATGTAGATAAACGAAGTGCTTTCGGTGTGCGTTCGTAGATCGTGAATATATCATCATGTTTGAGACACGCCATTCTCTAGTGGCAGTGAGGTGTCTGCAACGGGCATTATAGCAAGCCCAATTCCTGATGTATCCACATATGTTTTTAATACGAATCCTGGGCTATTTGAATGTGGCTTTTGAGGCGGTGATCCAGTTCCCCCTCTACTAAAACGGGAGTACTGGAATTGGTATCGGATTAATCATCGCAAATAGGACCCTCCTGAAGATGTTTACGGGATCAGTTTCGAGGGTAAATCGCTATTACGCCTTCAGTATTGATGTTTGTTGCTGGCCGTGTGGCGTTTGGGCCAGTGAAGTGCGGTGAGGTCAATGGCTGGGGAGGCACTGGCTAGTGTCAGAGCCAGATTCACACACTGAGGTGGGCGTGGCCTCACTGGGGGCGTGGCCTCACAGAGGGGGCGTGTCCTCGCTGAGGGGGGCGTGTTAGACACGTCCCCCTCAGTGAGGCAGATGTGATAGCTGCCTCCCCTGGTGCTTTTTCATTGCAGTTTCATGACGAGACCAGCGAGCCTAAATATCTTTATACACATACGTGAAATAAGTTACCTGGAGTATAGAAGGCGAGGAAATGAAATGAAGGGGTCTACAAACATTACATTGGTGACATACTGAGATAGTAACAGGCACGCGCTTATTGCCCGCGCTCCATCCAATTACTGAGGGGTTGCGCAATCAGAGGGGAGGCTGAGCTCGTTGCTGCCTCACCTCTCGTCTCTTCCTGTATTTGCAGCGGAGCTCCGCAAATTTGGCGATTTTGACTATAAACATAATTGGAATCATACAGAAATTACATTTATAACACAGATCAGTGGAAAAATCTTAATATTTCTTTTATTCTTTTTTTACTTTTCGTAACAGCTATTTTCATTGGAGTATGACAGGTGAGGCTCTGCCTCCCCTGCCTCCCCTGACCGCACGTCTCTGGTTTGGGCCTGCACCCAACAACCGTGATTCAAGAGCAACTCAAAAGACTTTGCTACTGCTGTACTGATTCTGCCGTGGTGTAATGGATGTCAGAGTGGACTTGCAATCCAGAAGTCGCCAGTTTTGTTCTCTCACCATGGCAGTTGAGGGGCAAAAATTTGTAAACCAAACCCACTTCTGTCCACCCAGCAGTATCTATGGGTACACCTCAGTCATTCAGCTAGTCGCATGTGGTGGGGTAAAGGGTGGGTACTCCCGTCTCTTCTAAGACATATGGCAAGCGTGGAAGAGTAGGCCAAACAATACCCTCTACAGGGAGCTCGATAGGGAACACCCTTCCACCAGCAGGAGCGTGAGTAAGAAATTGCAGAGCTGCACCTTTACACATTTTACCACGGTTTGTTGTGCATGTGCTGTGTATTTTTTTAAGTGCAAATATTACGAGCAACGAGGCCAACATTTTTTTCTATGCGGAATGTTGGTTAGGGCACTGAATTGCACATTAGAAGTGGGCTGTTTCCGAATTCCGCAACACAATTCATTGCATAATGTATCGTTGACGATAATTTCTCTCTGTTGCAGGACGCGGCCCATATACATAGAGAAGATCACCCTGCACATGAATGATAACAGCAGCAGATTTAACTTCCATAAGGGGGGGGGTTACTTTACAAATAATTATAATTCGTCCAAGTCTCCAGCAAGTCCCCTGAGTTTATGTCCAGGGGACGAGATCAACTAACTCCATGTCACATTCTCTTCGCAAATATTTGACCAATTTGATAATCCATCAACACGGGTGGCAGATTTGTTAAATTATCAACTCGGTGAGGTACGATTGCCAGGGCAGATGTAATGCTGGCTGAAAGTTTAGGGGAGTGACGTAAGAATCACCTTGCAGCACTGCGAGTCGCCTATATTTTGTCAAAACTGCTGGATGATCGCTAGGGCAGTATGGGTCATGGTGGTTACTAGGTGGGGAGCTTAGACATTGAATTATTTGCAAAGTAGCCCTGCAAGCAGCTAAACAACACCCATGGTCACTATCCTGTTCTCAGTTGCTCAAACAAATAAACTTGAGCTCACCTTTATTATCAGAATGGGAAGATTGATTTATACTTGGAGGAATCCGATGAGCTATGAAGCTTTTTATAGCTCATTGGGCTTGGTGATTCAGATGCAAGCTTGCTTAGGTTACGAGATGTGACGAGGTTTGGGCGCGTGCCGGTGTGATGTGGCCAATGGGGCCGTGGTGTTGGACGCGCTCGAGGTGGCCTCTGCGTGGAGCCAGTGGACAGAGAGGGCAGCGTTCACAGTCGAGGGTCGGGTGCCACTGTTGACTCCCCACAACAGTTTTAAAGTCGCGTGTATCGCCTCCAGAGAGAGATGAAGCGAGTCGATCCCCTCAACTGGAATGAAATATATTTTGGGAAATGAAATATGGGTGAGGAAATTAAAGTAACATACGCAGGTGACAACAACTATGTTTTATTTGACCAGGTAAGGCCCACTGAGCTATAGAACTCTTTTTCAGAAGCGACCTGGCCACAAGTGATAGCTCAACAACGTGGCTTATCACGTGGAAATTATAGCAGCTAAATACGCGTGATGTTGATTCTAAATGTGGAAGGATAAACCGGAGGACCAGGAATAAAATCCACTCGGCCCCTGGGAGAACATGCAAACTCCAAAATATACAGCAGGTGTCAGGACCGGGATTGAACCCACGGCCTCCTGCATACCGGGCGAGGTAGTTAACATTTCCTAGCCACCACGCCGTGCGTCATGCTGAAACTAAGTTGAAGCACAACGGGCTTCCACCCTGGCTAAATAACAGGACAGTGGTTATGAGTAAAATTGTTACCAAAAGATATGAATACTGAAATACGTTCCAGAGCTGATATCAGTGTGCAAAATAATAATTATACAAAAAATAATGCCTGCTAGCCTGTTGCACATAGCGGTTATATCCCCGGTCAGTCTGAAGTGCTGCAGTAGTTCCTTAACGTCTCGGAGAATTTCGATTTAAAGCTTTCGTGACTGCAAGGATTCATCTTCTTTGGTTCTTTCGGTAAAGTCACGTAGAATGAGAATAAAATAATAAATTGATAAAATAAAATAACACAATAAAATTCTCACGACGTTTCGGCCACAACACAGAATATTTTAGCGTTGTTGTTTTGTTGCAAATAAATGAAACATTTTGAAAATTGATAAAAACCTTTGAAGGTACTATCTAAAAGACGGGTATTACAATGGAACCCGTAACATTTTGCAGGAGTAAGCTACTTTGTGTGAATATGATTATGGTTATTTTAATCATTAAAATAGCCCAGCTATGAGTGACTGAACTATTCGTGTGTTTAATGTTTACATATGGACTTTAGCACTTCCCAGTCCAGTGATTTGACACATTAAATAACCCCCGTGCCACTTTTGGTTTAGTTTGTGATTGCATTTTGCACCACAAGTTATCTAGTTGCACGCAGTCCTGAATTTATGTCATCTGCTCGGCATTAGGAACCATTGCTGAATACAATCACACACAGCTGGTCTTGCACGGCTATTGAACTGACTTTGCTATTGATACGGTTGAGCATTTCGAAGAGGAATGGCAGACTTTGATAGTCTTCTGCAAGGCATCGGGGAGTTTGGGCCCTTCCAGCACCGCGTGTTTGCGATGCTGTGTCTACCCTGCACCCTGTTTGCCTTCCAGTACCTCAACATCGTTTTCCTGGGCCAAGTCCCTGAGCACCGCTGCAGGTTGCCCACTGAGACGAGACGAACGTCTTCCCGGTGCGGCGCGAGCCTCGAGGCGGCACATAGAAACCGGAGCCGCGCATCGGGCTCGCTGGAAGACCAGTGGAACCTTCAGTGCATGCGTGTCAACACTACCACCTGGAGTGACTCGAATGCTCCGTGCGGGCTGGCTCCATGGGGCCAGGGAGACGAGGTGCCCAACGTGTCCTTTTCTGGTCGCCTCATTGCGTGCGACCACGGTTGGGAGTTTGACACCGAGAAGACGGGACTGACGTTAGTGTCAGAGGTAGGTATAGAGGCGCTGAGCGCGCAGCGGCGGACTGTGTTTGACGGGTGCTTATTTCTCATGCAACTCTGTAGCGTACGAATTCGGCAATATAGCGGTGTGTTATTATGTTACCTATGCGGTAATGCCACCATATGGCATTCTTGGATGAGTACGGTACGTACATTATTTCACCGAATTGGGCCGGGCTTGCCGTGGCGCGCCAAGCGCGGAAAAATCTACACAGATTTCATTGTCGATATGAAGGATGGCCAATCATTCGCTAACAACCTGACCCTGGCCCATAGGAATATTGCAATCCACCATTATATACGCCTGTCTTGAAAACTCGCCTCTTTAAACTGGCCTTTACTTGCTTGTTCTGGCCGTTTACCTAGCTGGTTCTGTTTATTTCCTGCTTTCCATACACGGGCATATTGGGATCTGCAAAAGTTAAGTATTATTAGTACCTGGAGGGGAGTAAAAATGTCTACTCGGTAATTACAGCCGATGCTGTCACGCTCCACAGCATGATGAATCATCCAGGTAAGGCTCCTGAGGTGTGTGCCACCCACTGTTAGCAATAGACAATGCCCTTTGTCTGGGTGAAGATCTTAACATGTTATGACCTCGGCCAGTGGTTCTCAACCTGGGGTGCGCGGACCCCTGGAGCACGCGAGGTGATTTATAAATGTGTGAAATTATATCATACACGAGAGTCATTGGTGAATAACCATCTATGAATCTGCGCAATATAAAGTAAATACGACAACATTTAAATCCATATGGTAACCTAGAATGATATAAAATACCTTTCTAAATGTGGTTTCCAAGAGTAAACAGCGAGCACGAACAAATTACCTCATGCATGCAGAGCGTCCCTTGATTTGCTTTTATTCGCTTGCAGTTACTAGCAGCTAGTTAGGATACCTCACAAAATGGACAATTGGTTAAAATATTGATGTTAATATTCACACATTTATTTCCCAGAACCATGTTGGGTCAGGCAAGCGGGTACACTCGGTTCAAGCGAAATTCAACAAGAGGGGTACAGCAGCCAAAACAGGTTCAGAACCACAGACCTAGGCCATTGATGCCAACAATAGGACAATTGGTAAGAGGAACACCTGGGTTTGCAGAGACGATTTTACACTTTTAAAAACATGTGTTGGATAATGGGACGCTGCCGTGATGTAATGGTTAGCACACTGGATTTGAGATTCAGAGGTTACCAGTTCGATTCCATCTGCTGGCACTGAAGTTGAAACAACGGTGCAAGTTTCTTAAATTCACTGGCCTCTGTCCACCCAGCGATATATATGCATGTACGTTGAACTTATTTTGCACCGTACGTAGCCAACCGTGATAATCGGAGGTGCGGAGGTAAAAGACAACAAACTAAACACAAAAAGCGGTTCTAAAGAAATAATTTTCAGTCTAGATGATTTGAACGTGCATTGGTCCAGTGGCTTCCTAATATCAGAAGGTAGAGCATTCCACACGGCCGCAGACGCGCATCGGAATGCGCGCAATGCAGTGCTAGCCAAAAGCCGCCGCGAGGATGACCAGAGTTCGAGTGATGGTATAAATTGTTGCACTACAGTTAATCGATTGGCATGTCGTGTGTGATGTGATCAAATGTGAGTACTGTACTCCCATCTCCTCCAAGACATCTGGCCAGTGTAGAAGAGGAGACCAAAATACCTTCCAGGGGAACTTTCTAGAGCTCCATCTCGCGAAGACCCTTCTGCCGGCAGCGGCGTGAATTGGTAATTGCAGGACGAAGCTTCTGCCTTTTGTGCACGCAGGAGGAAATATCTTTTCTCTGTTGCCCTTCATTTCCAAAGCTCAATGCCGAGTAGATTCCAGGATCCGATGCGATCGGGCGCATTCCGTTACATGCGCTCTGGTAAAATGACCCACCCTGGCTCAGACACGCCATTAATTAATGAATAAGGTCCACAAATTACACTTGGGTAAAGTTGGTAATTGGGCCTTGCCTACTACCTATCTGAGCAACTAGCATTGGATTCCAGTTGGATCGCTGATACGAAGAAAGGCATATAAACATGAACACCACATGATGTGGGGAATCCTCCACCAAGCAGGTAAGGCAAGTCTACTGTTTGGTAAAAGGTAAGACATGATCTGTGGCATTAGTGATTGAAGACCGATAGATGGATAGGCGGTTATACTATTTGTTATGGGAGACCATCGATTGGTTATTGGGATTTTTGTTTGTGGCCGGATTGCAAAATATGTTGCCAACTTTCTGTCTGTCGAGGAGGGCATTAGTCGAGAATGAACTCACGGCAATGATAATTAATTGCCACAGGTTTTACACTCTGCTGTGTTTTTCAGTTATGGTCCCACAAAAGCAGATATATCTTCCTTTAATGCTGCATATTTTCCCCCCATTTGTATTGTCGAGCTGTCCGATGTTGTTTTCGTGTTGAACCGCAGTGTTCTTCGGCACGATATCCGACGTTTCACGCCACGTGCCCGGAGGTCAAGTTCCTGAAGAAAAACGCATCGGAGAGATATATTCGTTTGTTTAGCAAACATGTACATGGGTAAATTAGGTGTAGATGTGGCGTAAAAACACGTTTAGTTAAAGTATTGGCACTAATCTAATTATGTGTACCCCACCACACACCTGCACGTGGTCACCTGCACGTGGTCACCTGCACGTGGTCACCTGCACGTGGTCACCTGCACGTGGTCACCTGCACGTGGTCACCTGCACGTGGTCACCTGCACGTGGTCACCTGCACGTGGTCACCTGCACGCCGTTATGGGGGCTGATGCCCCCCTCCCCACTCCCCATTAGGTGGGGGCCGACCTCCCCCTCACCCACCCGGGCGGGGGGGGTGGCGCCACTTCTAATTGGTGGGGGCTGATGGCCTCCCCCCCACCCGCCATTGGGAGGGAGGTCAATCACCTCCTCCCCCTCCTTGCGCGTCCTAACCGCGTGGATTACGTAATTGTTTGACTCGCCGCTGTGTGGGTTTAATTAATAATTTACACTAAGCCGTTCTGTCAACGAGGTGAACGCTCGGGCGCGGTCCGGATATTAATAAATAAATCGGCGCTCACGCGGCCCCCCCCACTCACTCACGCGTGTCTCACCGTTAACACTGCGGTGCACGCACAGACACACGTGACACTCACGGGTAATACCCTCGCTCCCTCCAAATTAAATCAACTCTTATCTGCCTAGGGGCTTTTCCCTCCCACCCCACTGTTTACCCTGCAGCTGGGTGCTGGCCTTGAGGTCCCCCCCCCCCCGTGTTGTGTATGCTTCATCGCGGCCGGCCTGTAAAGCTCTATGCTCCCTTTTTGGGGAGGCCGCCATGTAATCCGATCTGGGGGGCTCAGCCAATTTCCTGGTCCGGGGAAACCGTGGACGTCTCTGTTAATGGGGTCCTCGGGTGAAAACCCATCATACCAGGTGATCCCTCCTCGAGACCCTACGGAGGTGCATGTGAGTGTTTAGTGGGGCGTGCGTGCGTTCGTGGAGGGGGGGGGGGGGTGCAAGGAGAGGGTAGCGCCGGCCGAGCTGCTCCGCTGCGGTGGTCACGTGCGCACGTGGTCACGTGCGCACGTGACCACGTGCGCACGTGACCACGTGCGCACGTGACCACGTGCGCACGTGACCACGTGCGCACGTGGTCACGTGCATATGTTTTCGATTGAGTTTACTTGTTTCCTTGACTTCACATTCACCACAGGAAGTAAAACATCTTGCATCCACTTTAATGAAGTAGTATAACTCGCTCACGCACGCTGTGTGCTCCCCCTCCGATGTCTGGGTGTGCAGTTTGACTTGGTGTGCGAGAACGCCTGGCTGCTGGATCTATCTCAGGCTCTCCTCAATGTAGGACTCTTGGTGGGAGCCATCCTCATGGGTTACGTTTCTGACAGGTGAATTGGCACGCAGGCGTTTGGAGGCCCTCGTGCAGCAGTGGACTGAGCAAAGAAATGTAACATGTGTATGCGCAGCAGGCGAACATTTCGAGAAATGACCCCCTGCTGAGTGTGCTATAAATATATTTTGTATACACACAGTGACGTCGTGAATAAGCCACTTGCGGGTTCGGCATCAGCGTGTTCATTTGCACCCTCCACCACAGATATGGGCGCCGATGGAGCTTGATGGTGTCTATCGTGATGCAGACCATCTTCGGTGTTCTGGTTGCCTTTGCCCCCAACTACGCCGCCTTTGTGTGCATGCGGACTCTGCAAGGGATCTTCAACATGGGCAGCTGGACTACCGTCTTTGTGACCGGTACCTTGTCCTTGCTCATTCTTAACGTACTTTTTTTCATAACTTTTTTCTACATTCTCATAATCTTTAAAATATATATTTTTACAAGGTCCATTGGATGGCCATCTTTCTAATCGGTAAATCACCTTGCTCATTCTTCTGAAGAGATTTTTGTTTGTATTAAGAATTTAACTGAAAACGACCAACCGTGTGATATTTCAACAATGGTTTTCGTAGTCAATGATACATACGACCAGTAACTTGAGGCAGGATGTTTATTGTTGGAATTGCACCACGCGTCAGACAACATACAAAAAAACTCGATGCTTTCCTCATGATTAAAACAATATATTTGTTACAATGACATTCTATTATGTTTGAAAACACAATCGTAAATCTCAATGTGAAATACTTGAAATATTAATTTCAATATTCAACATGTAAGAAGAGGGGTTCAATCAAATGGCAGAAAGTACAAGCTAATGTCACGCATTAATATCTTCTAAATGTGAGTTTAACACGTAGGCTTTCGCGACCAATATCATCCATAAGTAGGGTTTTTTGGTTAGATCGCGTTCTGTTTACGTGACAACCCTTACTAGTTGGCTGTGTCGGGTGGTGGCAGGTTTTAACGACAGATTTATATATTTACGCGATCTAACCCAAAAAGAGCATCTATTCAAAATGTAACTTTAAACACATTCCTGCGGAGGGAGCTGGTAGGAACGTTGGGTTGCTCGGTCAATGGCCAGGGTCAACGGTGGCATGGTGTATTCCGCAAATATGCCCGACTGTGAGGGCGGGCACAAGCCAGCGTGAGTAGGTTAAACGTTGAGTTTTATAAGGGCACCACGGGGTGACCAGCCCCTCCCCACCCAGCCCCACCCCTCCCACCCCCCACCCAGCCTCACCCTCCCCACCCAGCCCCTCTCCACCCTCCCCACCCAGTCCCTCTGTACCCTCCCCACCCTCCCCTCCCCACCCAGCCCCACCCTCTCCACCCAGCCCCTCCCCACCCTCCCCACCCAGCCCTACCCCTCCCATTTTTGGATGCACGACGGACGGACACAATAATCCCCTGTGGGCTGGTGTAACCAGGAGGTTCCTTCCAGTAAAAAACGATTGTGTGAAGTGGACTCAAGGAACATGGAAAAAAAATCTTAACCATGCCTAAAAACAGAGAAAAATATCACTTGAAACCTGTAAAAAAGAAGCGTGACACTCGACCTCTCAGTCTCAGTCCACGTGGACGAAGCATGCGCCTGTCTGTCACAGGTCCCAACTGGGACTGACTGCGGACCGGGTCCAGATATATCAGAGGGGAGACTGCAGTGCGTGCCTTGTGGTGTATGGACTGCACTGAGGCCTGGCTGGCCATGTTGGTTAGGGTTGCAAATTTATTGCACCCGAAAGCAAATTTATAACGGCGTGGGGTGGGGGTGATGGGCGAGTCTGGGGATGGATAGGTGGTGAGTGAGAGGTGATGTGGCGGGGGGAGCGGTGGAGGGGGGAGCTTCTCTCAGACCCCCACCTGACACACGGGGTGCTCAACATAATCATCAATACCATGGGTACCTGGTTCCTTCTGGCCAGAATGAGCCTTTAAGTGACTACATATATTCTGCTAAATATTTTCTGGATAATTTTATACTGCAAGTCAATTCCTGTTAATACCCCATGCCGTTGGGGGGGGGGGGGGATAAAAAAAACCCTTCCCATCCTTGTCCTACCTCCAAACACTTGATGCACTTTCGAACCTCAGATTTCCTTTCATGTGTAGGAGAAATGTATCGCTCTGTTTTGCAGACTTTTCAGTTATAAATTATTATTATTACTCTTTGGTTATTTCAGTACGCACTCTCTCAAATTTAGCAATCTTTGGAAGAACGTAATCAACCAGGTAGGGTGTTGACTGTTGTGTTAGCCGACTCTCTGTGCTGTATTGCGTTACATTTCTAAGTTTACTAGGTTTGTTTTCTCTTCCATTTGTACCTGATGATGATAGCTTGTGTTGCAATCGAAGCGTCGTATGCTATTATTTAATTGATTATTTTCTCTTTCTACGTCACTTTACCGAATGAACCAAAGAGTAATTTCTGCAGTCACGAACGCTCCAAATCATCATTTTTCTTGCATGAGATAAGTTCCACAAACATCGTATTTGTTGTGCTGAGTGTGCCATGTTCATGCGCGACATTGCCCATTTGGATTTTGACCTTGTCAAAGTTGATTTTGGATTGTTTTGTTAGTGTTTTTTTTATATTCCGTAACGAGGTGTCTTCGTTTTAACTTGGTCCCCATCGAACACGCACATCGATTGCCCACTGGGTTTTATCTGTGCCAAAATAAAACCTAAATAAATATGACTCGAGTAAGTGCTACGACTGACCTACTCACTCACAGATAGACAAATTAAGCTTCTAATAATGCAGATACATTCGCCTGATGTCGTTTTTTTTCCCCCACGTTCCATCTCCCCGGCTTTGCCCATGCCTCGTGTGTGCACGTAGCTACCGAGTTTGTGGGCTCAGGCCAGCGCAGGGTGGTGCACATGGTGCTGCAGATGTTCTTCAGCTTTGGAGTCATCATGCTGTCTGGTATCGCTTACTACCTACGCACGTGGCGCTACCTGCAACTGGCTCTCACACTGCCAAACGTCGTCCTCTTTTCCTACTACTGGTACAGCGGTGACTATAATACTGTAGTATTGCGTGCACACCAAAACCTGCACAATATGCAGTATTTCCTGCAGTGTTCGTTGTCTCAAAGCAAAGGAGAAATATATCAAAGAATACCACTCTAGATGTGCAGCATTCTACGTACGGAAAAAAAGTTAAACTTTAAACCCAATCAGATGGTGTCTACAATAACAGTGCATGCACATAGCCGGAGTTGGTGATCTGTAAAAAAACAACATATTTGACGATATGGGCTCCGTAAACTTCATGGCGGTAAAGTAATACAGCAGCATAATCAAGCCACTACATATTTATATTTCAGCGACACTAAGACATAGTTATATTGTCTGCAATCTCACAGAGTAGAATACGTCTCACTAAGTACTCTTGAGTACGAGCATCTGATTTAAAGAACACATCCAGGTTGCTGTCGTAAATAATGAAGAGTACACAATTGTGCAACTACATGCATGTTCTCTGCAGGTTGCTGCCAGAGTCACCACGATGGCTTATTTCCCAGAATCGTAAAGAGCAGGCTTTCGGTGTTTTAAAGAAGATAGCGAGCGTGAATGGACGGGAGTTATCTGACAACATCCGAAAGGTATACCTTGTGAGGCTTCGCAGGCATACACAATGCTTCCCCGCTACATTCCCACAAAATGACCTTCGATTTGTTGACTCTAAAATGTTTTGTTTTTATTGTCTTATTGAAAATACTGTATGCAGCTGCGCCTTAGGTAAAAGGTAAATATGCAGCCCTGCAAATACTCAATTATGCCACTGCTAGAGGGGGGTCTTGAGAGTCCACTCGAGGGAATTTGGCCTCCTCTTCCACGCTGACCAGACGTCACGTGTGACCTGAGAATCAAGCAACTATGGTGAACTCAATAATCCTACTGAGTGGACAGAGGTGGTGGGGAAGAAGTGGCGGGGTGGGGGGGGATATCGTAAATGTTTCTCATTGTTTCAACTGTCGTGCCGGGAGATTGACCCCGCGACCTGGATTTGAAGTCGAATGTTATAACCATTTCACCAGAGCAGCATCACTGGGCCTTGGGACTACACCAGTCGCGTCACATGATGTAGGAGCAGGGGGGTGCCTTGGTACCCCCCTGGTGGCCAAAGCTACGAGTTGGGGCCCCCTTGACAACCACCATGAGATTTGTTTTCAACAACAGCGTAAAAGAACAATAAGTTATTTAAAACGCGGTTTACATTTTTTATGAAAACTGCTTTCATTAACGTTCCGCATGTTATTTTACGTTATTTATGGCAGTAATGTTTGGCTTACGCAAATTGCGCAAATCAAATATTGGTGCCCCATCTGACCAATTGCTGCACCCCCTGAGCTGATAATGTAGTTACTCAGCCACTGGACTACGCGAATGTTACATCATAATAATACTTTATGTCCGTCGAAAATGTAGCTGTGACAGTATTGCGAAGCCGATGCTCACGAATGTTAAAACATAGTTCGTAATTTTGTTTTGCATTGCTTAGAACTTTGAGGAGGTGACAAGAGCCGATGAAAAGGCTGGCAACCCATCAATTGCAGACTTGATGAGGTCCGCAAAGATTCGCAAGTACACGGTGGTACTGATGATTTACTGGTAGGTGCTTTCTCTATGGCCTCCTGCTACACCCTCAGGATAAAAAAACACATGAATCACACTCTCCTCTCGAGTACCTTACATTTTTTTTCATATATACTTTAATGCGCTTTTTTCTTCCACTTTATATCATATATTTGTTTTCCTACTTCATCAAACTGTTAATTATAGTTTTCTCTGAATGTGCTTCTTTCCTCTTCGTAAAACCATCTGGTGGCTAAATATGGATTATGTCATCCCATGAGGATGACATGACGTCATCCCATGAGGAATACATTTCACATCCTCCCTTTTCTGTTCATGTTTTTGTCTCATCGGTGTTTTATTCCTGAATGCGCTCACAATGTTTGAAACTGAAAGCACAAACAGCTGACAGATCTGGAGACCCTGCACTGGCTTTCATCTCACTGACAACTACCCTACAGCATTTCTTTATCTAACTGTGACAAACAACCTAGAAATCTGACTTGTTTCTAAATAAATAAAACTAACGACATACAAAGTGTATTTTAACATATGATATACTGCATATGTTTAATAAAGGAGTGGTCATACGGTGCAGTGGATAGTGCACTGAGCTATGAACCTTATTCAAACCTAAATTTGAATCCTGGCGCATGGCTAATATCAATGCTGAGTGATATTTTAACTATTCCTGAGCCAATCATTTAACAATCCACAGGGACCAATGTGGCGAAGCACAGTCAAACAGCCCTCGCGACGGACACGGCATGGGGAAGTCTTCATCCAGCAGCGGAGAGAGAATGGCTGCTGATGATGGTGATCTTGATCGATGATGATCTCTGATGTGTTTTCGTGCTGAAACGCATGTTGCTCGGCATAATGTCTGACGTTTCGCTCCACTGAATCGTGAATGAAGTTCCTGAAGAAGCCGCCGGCATGTGGAGCAAAACGTCGGACATCGTTCCGAACAACACGCGGTACAAGCCGACAGCGCGTCGCTAAAGTTATTCTGACACAACTGCAGAAAACCGACGCGAATTCTCTTGTCCGCCACGTGCAGGTTCGTGGTCGGTGTTGTGTACCAGGGGCTGGCGATGAGCACGGGGAATATCGGTGATGACGTCTACCTGGCCTTCCTCATGGGCGGGCTGGCTGAGATTCCCGGAGCCCTGATGGTGATCGCGCTCATCGATCGAGTCGGGAGGCGTCTCCCCATGTGCGTGGCCCCTGGGCTGTCGGGTCTCGCCTGCCTCGCCACTGCCCTCGTCCCCCATGGTAAGCGGTGCGGGACAAGCCAGCGTCTTTATTCGGTGGCGTGCTGCCACTGTCGGGTGCCGTCGGTGTCCGGGCATCCAGAACGTTCTTAGATATAACCAAGACAGCCACAAGATATTTGGGCGAAATCACGTTTTTTTTGGTTTGTTTTATCCCTTGAACAAGGTGACAAAAATTGCGATAATGCCGAGGATAGAATCGTTAAAACACAGTGGCGCATAAACAGTACGCTCACACTAATACGTGGGCGAATTGAACCCATCTGTACCGTGACCAACAATCACTGGGAAGCATTCACTTGGTAGGGCACACCCAACCTTCCAACGAGTGTCTGTGTCCCTGACCTCATTACATGGAAATCATTCAAGGTTCAGTAGGAATTCAGTGGGGGGAATGCGATTTTTTTTTTATCGGGTTAACATGAGGAACCTAGCGGCAGTGTTCTGTATGTCTCCTGGTGTTAGTGGCTATAAATTAAGGGAGTCTTCAGAGTAGAGACGTGACCATTAACTCCCTTACTTTTGATTCAAAGAATTGTCGCATTTCATGGTCAACATTCGATTCAAGAATAAATGTTTAAACATTGTGAGGAATTTGGCTACCACTCGTGATTTCAGCGCTCGTGTGAACATATTACATGCAACATATGTGAATACAACACGTTGATTCTTGCTCGTTTCTTTGCATATATTATGAGCGGGGGAAAAAATAATTCTACATTTATCAGAGGATCATTGCTTAGGTACAACTCGATTATAAAGGTTACAGGTGCATCGGGGAAGGTGGGAATGACTAAATTCACGAGACTTTCTAGAGTGGTTGGTGTGTGGCGTTGACGCACAGTGTGTCTGTATCAATTAACTTAAAAATTACCACACTTAATCAAGTATGACCTGTTGCAGATATTGGTTGGCTGAATATCACTCTGGTGACACTGGGCCGCCTTGGACTGACCATGGCCTATGAGATGGTGACCCTGGTTAACAATGAGCTCTATCCGACGCACCTCAGGTGAGCAGACGTGATTCACGTGTGGGCTCGTGAACAATACATCATGCAAATTGTTTAAGTTCTACTGATGTCCCCCCTCTGATGTTTCTAATTTACAGATCTACCAATTTTCACACATGCACTACATCTCGTGGTCAAATGAAACACTGCATTCATGGGGTTTTGGTCGATTGATGGAGAAAAATTAGCCTTGGGCGAGCGACAACTTATTATGTGAGAGCCACAGGATTTAACTTGTAACATTCTGTGGTGAGCGCATATTCATAAAAAAAAACATCAACGAAACATAAATAAAAACAAATGTAATAATAATTATGTTGTGCTTAATAGTGGAGAGAGCATTGTTGTGTAATGCTGTTTATATTTGCATCTTATCACATCCCAACTCTCATTTTTGACAAGTAAATCGACTTGTGTATAAAGTAGGCAAATGTGAACAGCTCATCAATCTGTATCATTTGAATACTTCCAAGGATGCATTTCCCACCAATGTCAAGACATCCCAACAAAAGAGTCGATTTCTGAAAACGGAGTCCCATCTTTGATCAGCCGTAGCTGGTAACGTGATTGGCCCTTCTGCAGATCCTATACACCTATAAATAGCCTATCAATGCCTCTTGGCCACTATTGGGTCACCATATTTGTCTGCTAGTCACATTTAAGTAAGCAGATATGTTGGGCTGTAAACAACTCTCAATTGCCACCAAAGCACTAGACTGAATTAAACAGAAAATAATGCAATTAACGTGAAATAAGGACAAAAGGTCAAGTACCAAAGAAAATTGTTCACGATACTGTACTATGAAAACTAGTGGACACATGAATAATTTAGAAATGGTCCATTACTTCTGAGGCTTGCATATAGCTCAAATGCCACTCGTGCTGTACTATATTGACCAGTACTATACTAACCAGTACTCTAGATACTCAACACCGTTATCTCGTTTGCAGGAACATGGCCATGTCCACTTGTTCATCACTGTCTGGTATCGGTGGAATAGTCGCTCCGTTTGTCCTCTACCGTCTTTACACCATTTGGAGGCATCTACCCATGGTTATTTTTGGTACGAAATACACGCACATTAGCAACAATCAACTTGTCAGTAATGTACACTTCATTCATATAGACAGAATCGCAAAATTCCATATTAGGCTTAAAACTGGACGTGTGTCAGTAAAAAGTGAAGATGGAACCGCGGATGTTCTGGAATCACTTGCGTACGCGACCTCGTGTATTTTGTACTTCTGGTGTTAATGCATTACGACACCGATGGGACAAATGAGTACGTAGAGCAGGGGAACACCTAAAAACGTACAATAAGTTACATTAACTTCAACAGTTTCGAGAACGAAAATGGAAGGACAACCTTGAGTAAGCTTTGTATATAGCTGGTCGTGAGTGACTGATTTTGAAAGAGGACTACAAAGCTGACATTTGATTTTGGGCCCCATAAATCTGGCATTAAAAAGAATGTGCAACTTTTACACTTTTTACCTCGGCTGACTGAATTTTGCACCTGGAGCTCAATCTACAGGACAGATTTCCAAAACCAGAGTAATAATTTTGGGTTAATAACATTTTATGAGTCTTTAAATTATTTTAAAAAATACATTTGTGCCTACACGCATTAGTTTCGAGAGGTTTTGAAGGGTGTTGATTTCAAATATATCATACTTTTCTTTATAACTACATTTTTCGGGTACTCGAGCTGACTGAAAGGGGCATTCAACTTTTATCGCACTTGTGGATATCCACAAACTAGTTTTACTGCAGTTCGGGTCTCTTTACGTCATCCCGAGAATGAGTACAGCACTTTGTACAAGGCAGAATGAATGTGTGCACTCTGCAGGAACCCTTGCGATTATTGGTGGGTTCGTGATTCTGCTCTTGCCAGAAACAAACGGTCTTCCTCTACCAGAAACCACCGAGGATGCAGAAAACATTTCCAAGTATGTTGATTTGATGATGCCGGCAGCGTTCATTGGTTACATTTGACCACAAAAAAAATCGATTTCACTCAAAAAAAGAAAGTGCACGTGAAGTTTAATCGTCTTTACGTTATTTTGAAAAGTATGCCAATGTGGACACCGTAGCTATTATACATTATTTTACATTGAGTTAGTTTAGACATGAAATTATATAACTCACTAATTATTGCATGTGGAGGTAATTTCTGTCAAATAATTAATATTCGTTTTCAAGTTATAGACAAAAAGTGTATCTGTCAAAGACTCGCGTTCAGTCACGCTAGTTTTGCACTCACAGCAATTAGTTAAACCGAAAATTATTTGATTACTCGATTTTAACTGTTTTCCCAAACACGTGCCGTTAATATAAAAAAAAAGACTTGAAAATGTTTTTTTATATTCATATCATAAAACTATGCTGTAAATATATGATAGCCAGTATATAGTGTATGGTACTGTAAAACAATAGCAAGTGCTGTGTTGCAGTGCACTCTCTCATACAAGAATCAGAAAATGTTCAGAATCAGAATATGTATTCATACTGGAGTTATCCGATGAGCTATAAATATATATTTTTCATAGATGTCCAGTAGAACGTGCCCAATATTCACTGTCGCACAGGAAACAGAAAATGCTGCGGTCGCGCAAGTTTGAGACCAAGAACCCCTTGAGAAATGAAGATTCTCAGGCCGATGGAAATGTGACTGCTACTGAGCTCGAGTTTATAAATGTGAAGCAATGAGTGTGCACGATACCGCGTGTGAACAAAACTACCATGCGTATTAGGGTGCCTCGGCTCATTAATGCTTTACCTATGCTAGTATTTACATGTTGTTTAACAATCAAAATTCGGCCATAACACGGTAATACGCGTACGTTAGTTGTTGCGTTGAGGCAAACATGTGCAACTATTTGATTATCAACGCAAGATTATTGCGATACAATTGCAGAAAGTTTAAAATCACGAAGATATGTTTTATATGAAACCATTTGTTTGGAAGGGCTTTTGAAAACACAAACAGGGTACTTCTAAATCAGACATTGGCAAAGTACGGCCTCCGGGCCGTGTACGGCCCGTTGGGCTTTTTAATCTGGCCCGCCGAACTTGTCCAAATGTTATTATTATTGAATTAAATTTTACCTTTCTCCTGTAATGCCCCCATTTCCCCATTAGATGGCGCACTTTGACCGGGAGTGTGGTAATTGGTTTGGGCGCAGGCCTCAGATGTTTTCATGATGTTTGATCAGTCACGTTACGACATGTTTTTGTATTGTTCATGTTCGTGCAATTTGTTAAATTGCCTTGCAAATAAATGCTTTGCTACCTGTTTAAGGCCAAATCCTTTCAAGTAATGATTTTTACATGTCATATATATTAGTTCACACAAACACTCCATCCATCTGTTCCTGGCCCGGCCCCTCTGTCAAATTTTAAAACCCATTGTGGCCCGCGAGTCAAAAAATTTGCCCACCCCTGTTCTAAATGGATTATTAATTCTTAATTTTTAAGCGGTGCAAGAAGAGTCGAAAGAAATGGTGGTTATGTTCTCATTCACTTACAAATTGAATTCATTTCATTAAAAATATATATTTTACATCGCTGTTGCTATCATTTCAAGGGTATCCATTGTATCATCTAACAATGCATTGCTGACAACGTTAACCGCTACACTATAGGGCAGCATATAACGCCCATGATTGAAGGTTGCAGTATTCCTCGTCATGATATCTCAAGGGCATTTTGAACACTGGCAGAAAAGTGTAAATACTTTTTTTTCATTTTTATATTTAAAGGAGAAATGTCACTCCAGAAATAGTGTAATCTCTCCATAATTGTCTACAGATTACAAAAGTTGACATTTTAAATATTTCATTTTTGGACATTGCCGTGACTACGTTGGGAATCTTGCATGCCTTGTAAACTTTAATATACTGGAATTTACCATTGGAAACCTCATTTGCCAGTAACAAAATATGATAATTGTTTTTTTACCCTTTTATCTGGCAACAAAACTGACACCTTTTTTATAAGGAGTCATGTTTACATTGACCACAATACCTGCGGTCGGAACGCAAACAAAAAACAACACCTCTGATAATGTATGCACTGTCCTTGAAATTGATTGGTCCACACCCAAGACAGCTTTCTTTAGAGCCTCGTCTCACATGGTGTTGGACCAGAAGACGCCAAAAGGCGCACAACTCAAAGACAATGCACCATCAGAGTATGAGAGCTCGGGATAAGCATTTGCACCATTGGAAACCTCAGACGCCAAAAGGCGCACAACTCAAAGACAATGTACCATCAGAGTATGAGAGCTCGGGGTAAGCATTTGCACCATTGGAAACCTCATTTGCCAGTAACAAAATTTGATGTTGCCAGATAAAAGGGTAAAAAAACAATTATATTTTGTTACTGGCAAATGAGGTTTCCAATGGTGCAAATGTTTACCCCTAGCTCTCATACTCTGATGGTGCATTGTCTTTGAGTTGTGCACCTTTTGGCATCTTCTGGTCCAACACCATGTGAGACGAGGCTCTAAAGAAAGCTGTCTCGGGTGTGGACCAATCAATTTCAAGGACAGTGCATACATTATCAGAGTTGTTGTTTTTTGTTTGCGTTCCGACCGCAGGTATTGTGGTCAATGTAAACATGACTCCTTGTAAAAAAAGGTGTCAGTTTTGTTGCCAGATAAAAGGGTAAAAAAACAATGATCATATTTTGTTACTGGCAAATGAGGTTTCCAATGGTGCAAATGTTTACCCCTAGCTCTCATACTCTGATGGTGCATTGTCTTTGAGTTGTGCGCCTTTTGGCGTCTTCTGGTCCAACACCAACGTGAGACGAGGCTCTAAAGAAAGCTGTCTCGGGTGTGGACCAATCAATTTCAAGGACTGCATACATTATCAGAGTTGTTGTTTTTTGTTTACGTTCCGACCGCAGGTATTGTGGTCAATGTAAACATGCCTCCTTGTAAAAAAGGTGTCAGTTTTGTTGCCAGATAAAAGGGTAAAAAAACAATTATCATACTGGAATTTAGTGTCATTGTTTTTTTCTGAATTTATAAAACTACAATACGTAGTGTGTATGTTCCTGTATTGGGGAAATAGTGGCATGGATTTGGAGGGCACAGCTTATGAAACAAATCACCATGACGCCAGACTGGGCAGCTCCTTTAGATTCTAAACGTTCCGAATTAATTCCAGAGCTATAAAAGAACAATACGAAGGCACCATTGGCATTCTGAGAAGCAGGTGGTGTTTTTCAATGCTCATAAAATCGAAGGCGCTTGAGGGTTCTTAAGAGTGTCTTGTTAATCATTATTTAAATGTGTAACGCGCCCAGTATTCTCTCACTCTCGAATAGAGACCGACTCAGAGGCACGAATTGTCCAAGCTCTGAAGTGATCTGCATATAGAGATAGTTTCAGCCAATTAACGAGTGACTATGCACTTGAGGGAGCAATACTCTCCCATACAGATGGAAATTATTTCAAACGTTACTTTACTACCACCTCCCACGGGGAGTTTCACGTTTGTGTGATCCACCAACGCTCGCTGTCTCCACGGTGCTGGGTTTCACGTGTGCTCCACCACAGCCAGACTCGCACACAGACTCGTACTGCTGTGACACACTCATGGTTCCCAGCCTTACGCCAGAGATGTGCAATACAGACCCCCCCCCCCCAACAGACAATTGCCAAGTGTTCTTCACTCATTTTCAGAGGGGGGCCACTATCGCCGATAAGACATCATCAGTGAGAGGGCCGCCACACATTTGACACCATTGGGGTTTGACAGCAGCAGCACGGTGGTGATGATGGGGGGGCGTTGTCACTCTTTGTCTATTGTCGGGGACCGCACGTCGGGTTCCGCACCTCAGGGGTCGCACTAAAGGCCACCAGGGGCCACCAGTGGCCCGCGGGCCTTGCAATGAAGAACACTGCAACAGACGATCTACCTAAAAAAAGATCCATTGATTCAGGTGCTTTCCAGCTTGTTTTCCCAGTGGCTGGACACTGAACGTGTGTTTTGCTCAAACTATTAAATTTAAACAAGACCAATCACACTTGCACGACATTCATTGCAATCTGGCACGCTTAATTTGGGTGTCTGCAGCGGATAATCGGGGTTTCACTGTGAGGCGAAGCACGTGGATTCTTCAGTGGAGGAAGCGGAAATGAGTCCGTCCACTGCTCGCTATGTGAACCCCCGGGACCGTGCCTCCACGTGTGGTGTGTTGCCTCCACGTGTGGTGTGTTGCCTACACGCGTAGTGTGTTGTCTACACGTGTAGTGTGTCTACACGTGTGGTGGGTTGCCCACACGTGTGGTATTGTCTACACGTGTGGTGTGTTGCCTCCACGTGTGGTGGGTTGCCTACACGTGTAGTGTGTCTACACGTGTGGTGTGTTGTCTGCACGTGTGGTGTGTTGTCTACACGTGTGGTGTGTTGTCTGCACGTGTGGTGTGTCTACACGTGTGGTGTGTTGTCTACACGCGTGGCGTGTCTACACGCGTGGTGTGTCGTTTACACACGCGGGGTGTCGTCTACACGTGTAGTGTGTTGTCTACACGTGCCGGTCAAATCGAGTTATATATCCGTTTATCTTATGTTTCCTTCTCGTTATTTGGAAATTGGTAGATAAGTTTAAGACCTCAGATTATACGAGTTTACGTGAGATAGGTTGGGGTTTTTTGTACTGTACATGTTTGCACACCTTGCGGAGGTCTTGTATATTTTGTGCACTGGACTTTTCATCTCGGTTAAATATTAATCAATGAGATCCCTTGTTTGGCTATGATCAGACAAAGTGGTCTTCATCAAATTAAGTGTCATGATATTTAATTTTTGTGTTGCCTCTAAGACAAATTCATCTCTCTTGCCCTTGAAATGCAGTTCAGGATGTGTTGTGGTGCCCGACCCCGGAGCCACTACGCAAGCGCTGCGACTCCCCCCCTACCCCCGCCCTGAATGCACACACGCCACGCGCACACACACACAGAGTGTCCTGGTGGGGGATCGCCTGGCACCACGGGTTTTCATCCGAAGGGGCCCTAGAGGGGAAGTCCCACGGTTTCCCGGTGCCAGGAGATTGGCCGACCCCCCCCCCAGGACAAATTACATTGCAGCCCCCAAAATTGGCTTAAAATTGTATGGGCGCACAGAAACTCACCGGGCTAACCTCAATGAGACGCTCACAGCACCGGCGAGGGGTCAGGGTGAAATATTACGCGAGCGGCACAGATGAGGAGGTGAGAGGGAAATGCCTGTGCACACCGCGGGTGTGTATTCGGCCGGACGGCTGCTCAGGGTAAACCGGCTGAGTCAGGGGTAAGGAATGCGGACGCGGAGACAATGGGTCGGGAGATTGAGATAGCGTAACGTAATGCCCTAGGTAACGGCAGCGAAATGTTTGAAAAATCAAAAGGTAGGCACACGATTGGCTGCGCAGGATGACGTAATGTAACCCTGGATTTTTCGAAATCCCAGGGCATAAAAATAGGAGCCCGAAACGGTTCAAGCGTCTTCTGATCTCCAGCCGTTCGGTGACCCAGACCGACTCCCTGCCTCTTCGAGCCGCTCGCAGCGTCCGCGAGACGCCAGCGTGTGCTGCCACGAGACAAGCGTTAGGCAAGGTTCTCTCCCATCGCCGTCCCTCCGCCTCTCCCCCGCATCTGTGCGACGCCGTGAGAATGGCTGTGAGGTACATAACGGGACGCATAAGCGTTTGTGGGAATTGGGTAGTGATACGATAGGCTCTGCTCACGGAATATTTCCTCCGGGCAGTGCAGGGTTTTGCGCCGTGAATAAACGTTAGCACAGAGTATCGGTGCGGTGTGATTTGTGTCTGTATGGAGCAGCTACGTGGGCGGACGAGCGTCGAGGGCAGAGCCGCAGCACGAGCGCTCGTTAAATCAATCGCTTGCAGGGGCGCGCACGTTCGCGCCACCGCTAGGGCTCGCCAGATCTGTATACAAATCTGCGGCGTTATCTCATAGGGCACAAACCTGTCCCACAGTTTCTTGGTCGCTGGTCTAGTGACAGAAATCCCTTCTCCCTGGAGTCGATAGGCTTTGGACAGCCTGTAATGAGCCTTGGTGTCTCCAACCAGCCAATAATTGGATGGACCAACACGTTCAGATTCTTGTAGGGGAATTT